AGAACATTCGTGTACGTGCACAGGTAAATCTGCTGTATTTCTTTCTTTTTTTGTTAGAAAAATGTAAGCAGTGACAAGTTTTGGCGTAGTTTCGCTTGGAGGGGGGGGGGAGAATGCACTAACTGTTACCACCATTCGTAGCAGGCTTGCAGGTCCACCTTTAATGAAAGCCTGCGAAATTCTTAAACCCTGAACGGACTACTTTCTACCATTTTCTAACTTCATAAGAGTTTGACAGATGCTCAATCAAAGTGAGACTTCCTCTTAACATGAAGTAGGAAAAATCAGCGAAATGCAAAATGACGCCCTCCGCTCCCTCCCCCCACCCCACGGGCTAGGCCAAGCGTTTTGGCTTTCCGAAGCGTCCTTACGCTTCAGAAGGCATTTAATGTTAGTGGAGGGCAAGCAGCAATCGTGAATGTGTGAAATCGGTGGCAGTACAACCCCCTAACCCTTGGGTCACGGTACGACCCCTTACCCAACACCCTATCTACACTTTGCCTACAGGTTCCAAGCTTCGTACGGCAGTTTTTTTCCAAATTTTCGCATTAATCCAAGTTTTTCCCAAAATTTTTCCGCGTGGTCGGGTAGTGTGTGTGACGCGGAAAACCGTGGAAGTAAGTCAACAACGGCAGAAAAAAATCTCCCCAACGCGACAAACGCATCGTCAAAGGCGTATACGAATCCTCCGACCCACAGCTACGCAAATACGACCTCATACCACAGGGCGGCCCAGTACGACCTTCCTCCAATGTGTTTCAGCACTAGCGATGGCTGTAATCCTGATTACCGGGTACGAGTCCCGCAAAAGGTGAAAGTATAAAGCTTCGGCCTTGCCAGTTACCGACCAAATCGACAGAAATGGCTAACTTTCATGACCCTAGCGAGACCAATTCTGGTCCAGAAGGCAATAAAATGTTCATGATTCTTAGTGATTTCTTCCACCTCTCCATTTACCTGCAAACTTGCATCTGTGCGGAGATGTCAAGTCTTCTTTTCAAGCATTCCTTTTCCTGTCCTCGTCCGAAGGAAAAAACAATGCCGAGAATTGTTAGCGCTAACTGATCGCACTTTTGGCTAGTCTAATCTTTTGCTTTTCTTTTTTGTTCCTTTGCTCTTCTTTTTGTTTTCTTCTGCTTCATCCTCTACTGCTGCACTTTTCCTCTTGCACTGGATTAGCAGAATTCATCGCTTATACAGCGGCCCAACAGCATCGTGTTGTGTGAAATGGTGGCTTCAGTAAGAGGTCCCCATCTCCATCCCCACCTAAAGGTCAGGCCATTTGCCTACAGGTTCCCCCAGTTTTCGCTACCATTTTTTTTTTCCACAAGTCCGCCCCCCCATTTTCCACTGTTTCACGCTAGTTTTTTAGTTCTCAAATTTCCGTCGAGCGGGGTGGGCGAATATATCCATTGTGAAAAGGAAAACCGCGAAAGTCCCAGACAACCAGGAAAAAAATAAAAAACAGGGGGGTATTGCCAGCAAACTTTTCTCTCAAAGGCAAGGACAACCGCGAAAAGTTCAAACTAACGCGGGAAAAAGTTTGCGCAGCAAGTTTCGCTTCTCAAAGGCACATACCACGCCCCCCCCTCCTAACATTCGGCTATGTACGACGCCCAGCTTCGCCTCCCCTGTGGTTTCCCACAAGTATGCTGTACCCTGCAGGGGCGCTAAGTGTGGGTTTTGTAGCTCCTTCTGCGCTAGCCCGTGTCAGTGAATAAAGCCGGCGGCTTTTGAAGCTGAAGGCCTATTCGCTTAGCTTTCAATACTAGACCCTCTCTTCCCTTGGATACGTCATGTCAAGAATTTTGAAAACCTGCAGAATTCTGAGTCCTCGTCGAGTGACATCCAAGCCCCTCCGCTAACTATATATATACGCAACGTCTGTCTGTCTGTCTGTCCGGAAATTCGGAATCACCTGAAGAGCCAGTTGGAGGGGGCGGGTCAAGGGTGGGTTGGGTAGGGCATGGGCCAAGATGTGCGGAACACATATGAATCAAGCTAGGCTCCAACCCACTGTGGGCGGGGCGTGCGCACATTTGTGAGCTACAAAATTATTTCTAAAAAGTCGTAAGTTTTTGGTTCAAAAGGAGCCCCAATTAGAGGGAATTAGGCAATCAGTGGCGTCGAAATGAATTGAGATAAACCCATTTTTGGGCGGAGCGTTCGCACTAGGTTGGGCGGTGCTTGCCTTTTGAAACTTTTTCTAAAAATTATCGGCAGTTCGTCCCAAAAGAGCTCCCGAGAGCGGAAAGAGTGGACAAACGAATAGGCAATCTGTTTGGTGGTAAAGTAAATCCGTAAGCCACATCCCTGAAACGGGCGGGCCGTTCGCACAAAAGTGACGGTGCCGAGCGGCAAAAACTCCTTGCAAAACGCCTAACGAAAAAACAGTACAGGTGAAACTGAGCAAGTGGTTTCTCAGAAGAAGTTAGTGAAGGATAACCCTACATAGTGCACCAAATGGTTGCTACCATCGGCAATAGTTAATTCTGCGATCATCACTAAGGGAGTGCCGGCATAAGAATTTTGGGGACGACTGTCTCTCTAAAGGGGAGGGGGAGTATATCAAGAAGTGAAAAAATAAAGTGCGCTAATATCCTTAAAACAATATTTTGTTCGACCATCGATCCCGACTTGGCCCCTCCCACAGTCATGGATAAACTTCGCTCATCGGGACCCCTACAAACCCGCGAAGGAGGAATCGGGCCGGCAAGCTGGCCGATCGCGGTACTGGTCCCCCGTAAAAATGTATAAAATTGTAGAGGCAGAGATGATTTAGTGGCCTATAGCGCTTCATATTTCACTCAAAGTCCAGGGATCAAATCCTGGACCGAGTCCAATCCGGACCAGCTAAGCCTCCTCGTAATTTCAGACATAATTAGGGATCGGTTTGAAAATTCGAAGCGTCTGTCTCATACACAAGGCACGTCGTACGTTAGGGAACAAAAGGCGAGAGGGCTTCTGCTGTGATGTGCTTCTGAAAAAATGTTTTGGGTTTATTTAATTATTTATTTCCATACTCTCAAGGTGTGCACACAAAAATATTCAAAAAATAAAACCGTGAAAAGGAACTATGGCGAAAAATGCAAATGGCCTTGATGGATTGTTGGCTTTTCTTGGTTCTTCCCGTAATACATATCACCCGCCCCATCCCCTTGCCCAAGGCGGTTTTTACGGGAGCGAATTTTTGATTTTTTGTAAGGAAAAAACTGGTGGAAAGTCGGATCGAGAAGGGGTTTTACCGGAGCTGTATCAGAGGAGAAGGTCCTGAGGGGGTCGTGTCCTGCGAAATTTTTTCCCAACGCCATTACCTGCCCTGCTTATACATAGGACAGCCCTCTCAAGTCATTATATAAGCCAAGTCGCCTTCAAATGGTTCTCTACTTTCAACTGGCGTACAGAGCATGGTGCATCCAAAAGCAAGCAATCTGCGCTACATACTTTATTTCTGCCGTCGCAGCAGTGCGTCATGTCAGCGTTCCCTGCTCCGATTGTGGTAATCTATCGCAATAGCGGTCGTTGATTAATGCATAAGTCGAGCAGGAAAAATGGCTTGAATAATCGCTTTCATTCACTGAAATGGGCAAAGCTCCTACGAGCTGCTGAGAAAAGAAAAAAAAATTATTTGTGAGTATTGGAGAGCAGAACGCAGGGTGGCTTAGGCTAGCGAGGTTCGCGGACTACTACTGAGAAAATCTTTCCGCCAATTTTCGAAAAAAATTTTCGGTCTGTGAATTTTCTTTCCGGTCGCAGAGAGTGGGATCGTTACTGAAAGAAACTTCGGCGTGATCAGGAGGGGTTGTACTGCCATTTCACCCAGCCCGATGCTGAACCCTAGTAAAGAGATAGAAGGATGTGAGCTTCATGGAATTCCTTTTTTTCATTTCTCCCCAAAATCAGGTCTGCAAGTTCGGAAAAAACAAGGCTTGGAAACCCCCAGAGTACGTTGAGAGAATGACGTGCCTTTTTCGAAATTTTTGTTAATATTATTAGTTAAGGTGTGTGACTCCTACGAACGGTTACTTCTGTGATCGAAAGGATTCGTAACACAACAGTTTATTGGGAAACAACGAACACTTATACCACAAAGGAAAACAAATCACTAGAGATTGATTCGCCAAGATTCGTCTTGGCCTCGACCTGAAAAATTCCCGCAAAGAATCTGGGTACCTTACCGGGTCGACGGTGACTGGGAACGGCGAGGCGGGTAGGCCACCAGCGGAGAGCGGATACACACGAAGAAGTGAACTCACTCCCCACGGCTAGTCTCTCCTATATCATTCATACGATACGAGACGATACGATAGCTTATCTCTTCTACCCGTTCATTCTAGCATGCCCTCTTGGAGTGGCTGGTGGGCTGTATGCCCGCTGGCAATCTCCTCTTTAACATGCCTCCCCGTCGCGGAGTCGTCGACCTCGGCGACTGTTCGAGCTCCGGTAGCCCAAAACTGATCGCCTTAGTCTCTTGCCCTATTTCTGATGAAACGGAGGTAATCTTTGCCTCACTTGCTTTGGGTGGTCCTCTCCAATTAACCGCTACCCTTCGGTTTCCTTCTTTGGGTGTCGGAACATACAGCCGGTTCCCTACCCTTGGATGTTTGTTACCATCAATTTTATCTTTTCTGCCATACATGTCTTTCCTGTACGACCTTTTTAAACTAGAGCTTTGTGCTGCCATCCAATCATGAGGTTTGGCAATCGCCTGACTACGACAAGAGCTCGACGACACAGTCACCTTCTTGCTAATCCTGCTTTCAAAAGATGCTTTGTCGTCCTTCCTGCGTACTCCGTTTACAGCCAGTTTAATTCCCAATTTCTTCAAAGCGTTCGTTCCAATGATAGCCTCTGCTTCCTTGTCCGCACTAATATGGAATGCAATCATCTCGCGTGTTCCACTTATCCGATTTTCAACTTCGAGTATGTAACTCCGCAACGAAGTCCATCTCTTATTGGAAAGCCATTCAAACACTGGTTTTAAGACGTTGACTCCGCGACTACCATTCAAAAGAGTCAACATCCCATTCCTCGAATACTTGGCTTCGCAGGACTTTCAACGGTAATAATGCTGGATTCATGGAACCAGTGTCTACAAGGGCTGTACACCGATCTCCAAGAAGTCTCACAGGGACCATTATCCGTTTCCCAATGAGATCGCTGTCATCACATCTTTTTCGTCGAGCTTTCATCCCCATACTCTGATTTCGCTCTATTATGGAAGACAACTTTGTTTCTTCATTCTTCGAAGGGAATTTCTTTCGATCCCTATGGTTAACATTTCCCATTCGGGATGGGCATTCACGTGCTATGTGTCCATATTTTGAGCAATGGTAGCACTTCCTCCCTTGTATTGCTTCACCATATCTCGGTTCCTGCGTTGCAGAACTCCTGTCTCCGATACTTGGTTTCCTAGCTTCACCCGAATGAACGCGTTTTCGCGCTTGGTGTTGTATTCGCATCTCAGAATCTTGTCGTGAAATGAATGGTGTCGCTACGGCTTCTGCCATATTCTGTTGTCCTTTCTTTTTTCTCTGCGTACTGAGCATATCTGTTTTTCCACGCTAATGGCTTGTATTTGTTAACTTCTAGCATTATTTTTGATTGTTCTATACTGATAGCCAACTGTTTCTACTTCTTCGTATGCCTTCTGAGGCTCCACTCTGTGAAGCGCACCCACCAACTGGAAGTGTTCAGGCCAGCCGCTCAGGTTGTCTAAAAGTATTTGAGCATAATCCATGGACCTGTCTTCTAGTGAGCTTTCTGGATTTGCTTGTTTGCCTTTTTTCTCGAGGACTACGCAAAACTCTGCCACTTCTTGACCCGGTCTCATTGTCAAGTTTCTTAATTCGGTTAACGCTCTCATTCTGCCAGCTGTGGAGTCGCATGCTAACAATCTCGCCATTTCTTGCGTTACTTCGTCGAAGCCTTTCTCTTTTACCGCTCGCGGAAGTGCTTCGAACACATTTTTAGGCTCGACCAGTTAAATGGTCATCCGCCAGAATATCGAC